AAACTTGGATCGATTCAGAAAGTTGATCTATCTCAAATCCTTTTGCGCAAACTTAATAAACGCCTTAACACAACCGGCTTAGACTATAAATAGTTGTAGAAATACGATTCAGAAGACGCTATGAAAATATTATTGTTTAACTAATTGGTTTCACTTCTTATATAACCTGACAGCGAGAGGTGGTACCTTGTACAGGAACTGTCTTTTTTTGTGTTAACTTTAACTGCTATATAACAGATATATATTGTTAGACTGTAGTAGATACGATCTCGATATGAGACCCGATGATGAGGCATTAGATGATATTAATGAAAACAAAAAAAAAGATTGCAGTAAATTACATTCAATTCCTGGCAAAGTGGTCGACTACTTTAATATATACATATTTAATATATACATATATACTTAAAAGAATGGTCAAACGAACCATATTAGGCCTTTTCTCCCCTATGGAAGAATGCAACGAATTTTTGCACCAAATTCGCTACCGTTGTAGGGTTTTTCTTTCATCCAGAACATTATGGTAGAAACCCATATGAGCGACTACAGTTGATCTAAAATAAACAAATTTAGTAAAATTTTAACATTAAATTAAAAACCATTAACTTAAGTATTACTTTCAAGCTGCTTTACTTAATAAGTTTAAGTCTTCTTCTAGCGATAATGTGATACACTAGTTGTTGAAAATGTTAAAAAAAAAAAAAAAAAAATACAAAGACACTTGTACATACATAAGTAATTGAAAAGTGTTTTATATATTTTTCTTTTAAGCCTAAAAACTCATAGGAAGGAAATTCCTTTGATATTAATTTGAAACAACGTACAATACTTTCTTGTTGAGGTTAAATTATTGCCAGTAAACTATATTATGTGCACTATGCACTGGAAACGTTGTATATTCAATTCCACTTGGTTGCATTTTCTCCCTAAAACATAAACATGCATAAACATGCGTACGCATGCATACACATGACATATTTCTATGTTTGCTTTGGCCTTCTATTTAAAATTCAACGTAAATGGACACTAAAAGCTTTTTGGGGATTAAATTTTTATATACATATATATATGTATGCACTATTTTAGTTGCAAGACATACAAATATGTATACATATATGTTACACAATTCATGTAAGCAGCAACTGTATTGTGTGCAAAAGAAAATATGTGCATCGTATGCATAAACAAGCAGATACGCACGCACACATACGCTCTTGGTGTTAAATATTAAAAACTTAATGAATATATAAAGAATATTGAGGACCCTTACCAAGAAAATGTGAAAATTATAATGATTAGTTTTAGTTACTTGTGCTCCTTAATAAACGAGTTTCAAAAACGGCTTGTAAAACCTTCCAGGTACCCGCTCAAGCATAGATACATACATACCGGTCGGCATTCATTCACCCTGGGGTATGAATAACCGATTAGATATTCCTAAAAAAAGCAAATGAACGGACTTTAGACACCACTTCACTGGTGCGCCCTTCCAACTCATACTTTCCCCGATTTTTAGACAAACCGGAGTTGCAAAAATTGTTTGACCACAAGTCGTGTTTCTAAGTGATCACAAGCTGCCTATAAACGTTGAAAAATTATAAATTTTAATAAAGTTTTCACTCGAAAATTCTTAATTGTTTTGATAAAATGATTTTATAGAAAATCTTTTAAATAATAAACAAAAGAAAATAATAATTTACTTTATTCCTTGAATTGCTAGGCATAACCCAGAGACAAGTAAGTGGAATGCTTCTACTTAATTAAAGTCAAGCGTGATAAGCTACTTTTATATTGGGTTGTTAAAAAAATTCCTAACATCTTTCTAGATCATGCAGATATACTGGATTTTGATGTCCAAAGCGCTCCTTATTTCCACTAGTTTTTATACCGATGAACATTTGTGCTAAAGCCAGATTAAGTTTATACAGATATGTAAGATCCGGAAGAATTTTTTTTTTTGATAAAGACCTTATTACTCAGAGGATGTCAACTGCTCGCATCACACGATGACGCTCAGAAAGAAGCGAGCAAAGAGAAAGAAAAAAAGAAGTTAGGCACAAATATTGGTCAAAACCTGGTTGGAAGTGTGCCCCATCAACAAATGTTATGCCTTTATCGACTAAGTATTTACCATAGCTACGGCCAAAGTAAACTCTACCTTACTGAGATTCGAACCCGTGAACACCGACTTGATAGACGCAATTCTTACCTACTCGGCTTCCGCATACTAATAGAAAATTGGTATTTTTGTGCCCTAAATGATTAGGAATACATTATACGGTTCGGAATTATATACCAAGCAAATCTTTCTATAGGAAGTCAGCCTTTTGTAGCACTAAGATTTAGTAACACATCACTCAATAAGTAAGTAGGAAAATATTTATATAACGCCTCCATCGGCAAATCCATCTGATTTTTAGAATGATATGTGTCAAAATGTCATGACATTCCTATGATTAGTTTACAGCCTACATTTATTTTAGTGCGATACTACACACAAAATTTGGATTTTTCTATTGTTCTGTAAATAGCAAAGTTGCGTCATCCTTCGAACTTATTGAGTGATATATTTTTTTTATAATCTATGTTAATTCAAAGCAGCTATAAACTTACTATCCCAAATTTGGATTAAACTTGTATATATCATTTCTCATATTGCTCATGAAGAGTAACTCTGTATATTGCAATAAGCAACAATTTTTAGCATTTTATGACAAGAACAGTCGACAAATAATTAGATGTTTGAGAAAATAATCAGTTTAGCCCACGTGGAATCATGTTTTTGACCAACCCTTGGCATAATACCAAAGCTTCAATAATGCATTTTATTGGACAAGTAAACAACAATTAACTGTCTAAAGTAAGGTTCGGCCTTATCCGACTATAATGTCTTTTATTTGTGTAAAAACAATTCAAAATTTTAACGCATTTTTTATTATCGTGAAAAAACAATAAAAATTTAATTTGTGATATTCCAAAAAAGGACGCCAAGCGGAGAAAACTGCTTGCAAAGCTAATTGGAGGACAAACACCAGATGATATGAATACAATTACTTGAAGAACTTTGAAGAAGTTTGAAGGAAGAATTAATTGTAAGGTTTTCTATTAATGCTACGGAGCCTTTGAAATGCAAATAAAGTATTAAGTTTGATTTGCTATAAAAAACACTACAGCAACTCCCTACAACGCCCGCATTTTTAAAAGGGGTTAAAATTTTCTCCAACGACCGAATACTATTTTACACTTGGTAAGAAAACTCTCACAGGAACATCTGCCAAATAACAGGCAAGTTACTGAATATACCTATGTATGCACATATAATTACTATAATATAATATTAAGCATATACCTTTTGATAAAATTTTCGTTCAACACACACTTTGACTCCTGCTGCTGCTATTGTCATAATTGCTAATTTACATATGAAATGCTGAACTTTAGAAATTTGAATGCTGCAATGTTTAAAACAATTTCTAACTTACTAAAAACAAGCCGCAGTTTAAAAGAACATGTTACGAGTAAAGTAAAAGCAATAAGCTTTTTATGATGTCGTAGACATTTCTTAAATTTTCTTTAGAAGTTAACATTAACAATTTATAAGTATATGTTTCAATTTGACAAACTCGAAGTAGATTTTTAGAAGTAAAATTCCAAATTTCGTGACAAATTCCGAAAATCGCTAGCCTCCAGTCTAGTTTTTGTGATCGATTTTGCCTTAACACTGCACGCCTCTAAACATATAACTTTGTATTTACAAAAGCAGTCCTGATTAAATTTTTTCCATAATCCTCACTAGAAAAGCTCATGTTGAAGCTATAACTTCAAGCCAAGAGCAAAGACCCAACAGTGTTGCAACCTCAAAATCCTGTTTTCGAGAAAAACATCCTGAAAGTTTTAAATTGCAAATTTTCAAGAAATGCTTAATTTACCTCTAATTCACTATTTCTGCAAAATTAGACTAGTTTAATGTCTTTGAACACTTTCACGATCGTGGAAAGATTACGCTCAAAATTTTTTATGTATCCAAAATTCTTTCAATATAGCTCTACCACCATATTCAGAAGATCGACTTTGCAGTTTTTATCCTCCCGGAAAGCACCAATAGAAAAACCTGAAAAAGAGAAGTCCAAAGACGGTACTACCCCTTCAAAAGGTGATGATAAGGAGAATTCGTTTTCTTCATAATCTTATCAACAATTAATTTATGTTTGTTTTTCGTAATATTCTGATTCATGCATTTCAAAATTGTATCCCCAATAAATAGAATTTGCAACAACAAATACATATGGTACTATATTTGCCAACAACAAATACATACGATACTATTTTTGAAAAATGAACAATAATTAAATATAATTGCGTTGAAAACATTTGTTAACTTCACTCGCTGTCTTCGTATTATTATACATTGTGAACAAGTTATTCTAGTATATTGTGAATTATATTTTATACATTCTTTGTTCGCTTTCTTTGTAACAAAAAAAATTTTCTCTTTTTTTTTTTGTTTTTTTTAAAAGTAACCTGGTTACCATATTTGCAATATATTTGTTGTAGATTTTTTAAATACCTATGCGAAGTAGATTATTATGATTTGTTTATAAGGAAAAAGAGGAATATGTACTAGATAAGTTTTGATTATGTTTTAATTCAATGAATAATTTTTCCTTAGGAAACTAGAGAGAGAGAGAGAGAAGAATGTCTTCTAAATTCAACAAATTGTGTAAAGAAAATCTCTCTGCAACTTATAAAAGTTTTGAAAAAAGTATGAAAAAATCAAATGAAAGCTAAGAAATTTTCTTAACAATAATAACAATATCCGAAGGAAAAAACCGAAGTAAATAAAAATTTAAGAACTTTAAAAATGTAGGAAATAATATATATAATAACTCTTAAACCATACAACAACAGCAAGAATGAATGCCAGGTAAGTAAATAAAATTATATAAACTCGAATTTGGCAACTCCGGTACGAAACATCTGTTTTGAATAAAATTAGTTTTTGTATTCGGCAGCGATTGAGAATATTTTTTCACATAAAGGATCTGATATTTCTTAGTAAACACTATACGGGATAACATAAAGAACAATATGGTTATAATTGGGCCTGTAAATTTGCTTGAAGTTGGCTTATCCTATACAGGCGGAAACGTAAAATTAAAGATTGGTGAGAAAATTATTGGAACTGGGACATTAAGCATCAGTCAAAGGTAGGTTATACACAACGATAAAAAAGAAAAAAATTGAAATATTTTTTCATTTTTATAGTTCACTCGCATGGCAGCCAGATCATTTAGAAGACGGTATATCATTTCTTTGGAAACAAATCAGTGTCCATGGCATTTCATCTGCCACACCGGCAAAATGCATTTATTTCATGTTGGATCATCAATTAACATGGCCTGGTGTTTATGAAGTAACAGCTGCCTCGCCGTATATAAATATACAAAATGGTGTCGAAGATGAAGGTAATGCCACCGATGAAGAGGAAAATGACGATGAAATTTTTCAAGATGCTGAAGAGGAACAAATAACGGAATGTTGGTTAATACCAGAGGACGTTAACACGGTAGATACCATCTTTCAGGCAATGACTGAATGCCAAGCATTACATCCAGATTCAGCTGATAGTGTTTCTGAAGAAAGCGATTATATGGATGATGAAGGTCTCGTTGAGGCCGAAGAGCTGGTTTTCGGCGAAGTACCCGAAATCGGTGCTGGTGGTGAATCTGACACAATCGAAGCTCAAGGTGGTATTAAGAATCTCAATTTAAATGATGATCAACGCTTCGCCGATGCTGACGAGTGAGAAGACGTATGAAGGTTTTGAAAAAAGAAGATAGAGGGTAAAAGACCACAACAAAAAGTGTATTACTTTTAAAACCAATTTTTGCATTTGATGTCTATCTAAATGACTACAATTCCACAAATAATTTTTAATATATATATGGCCCTATATATATATATATATATATATATGTATATGTATATATATATACATTATATTATTAATTCTATACATGAAAATGAAAATGAATAATTTTATTCTAGTTAAGTCGATGAGGCGCTGAGTTTAGAGTATTTGAAATGAATTATAATTTTCAGATAAACAATATGAAATTTATGGTTTTATTAATTATGACACATAGGCTGCAAAACTCACTTGAACAATCGTTTGCATTCTAGGCACCATAAACTGTCCCCTTCAATGTTTTATACAACAAAGATTCATTACCAACGAGAGAATTTTGTTTATTTAATCGGCTACAAATAAAAAATTTTCAACCGATAGAAAATATTTTAAAACTATACTATAATTAGGAGACGATGATGGGAGTAAAGGAACGGATATTGCTACAGATCGTAAAAAATATACTACGATTACCCATGTCGATATTTTGCAGCAACATTAAATAGAAATAATTCGGAAGAAGATTAAATAGAATAAATCCAGAAGAAAGGATTGATAAATATGTTTAAAATGAAAAGAGTAGACAGGATGCTGGAGGCGTATTTGTAGAACAGCATTCTAGATGACATGTATAGAATTCAGTAACGGATTAAACAAATAAAGATTAGCACTGTGCATCATACAAAGATCCCAGAATGAATTCTCAAGCTAGCAGTGTGTGCGGCCGTGAGACAAGTATGTCTTGCTATACCCTGTAAGTAAACTGTTTCACAGTCCCTCATATACGTTAAAAGAGGTTCTCTGGAGTGATCGTAAGACAACTTCGAACATCTCATGTCATCTTTCCAATATGAGCAGATTAATGAGCATTAACTTATACTCATAAGGAGGAAACCGAGCTCAATAATTTGGTAAGTCCTTTAGTAGCAAACCGCACGATGAGTTCGGGCAGAACAGTAAATTTCGCAATTATTCTCTACAATTATTAATATCCTTTTTTTTTATGAATTGGAACGGTTAAACTAATCTTCCAAATTAAAGCATTATGCCCTGTCTGCCTGCTACTAGCACAGCCGCGCTTGGATGAATAAGAACCTGGGCCTGAATACTCAAGATCGTTAAGCCGCAATAACGTATCCTACTTTAACCCTACCTTAATCTACGTTTGCCGATGTCCCCGTTCTTCCTTATTGAGTCCCTTTTTTTGCTTAAGGCTTAACGTGATTAAACTTTTTTCCAAAAAAAATGTCTAGGACCTATTGCAGGTTAACACGAAGCAGCGACTTCTTATGGAAACAATATGAAACAAAAGACATCGGATGAGTGCATTTGTTATTAATTCTTAAGGAATATGGTTATGAGCACATAAACATTCATAATGTACTTTGTAATGAATGCATCGGCTTTTGGGGGTTTAGATAATTGAATAACAACAAAACAAAAACCAGGCATTGCAAAAATATTAGTTTTAATTGAAAATTTTTTTATTTTTTTTTATAACTTTTTTAAAATAATTATTTTTTTCGCTTAATTAACTATCGAATCGCTTTATATAAACACCATTGGACTAGAGGCCGGTTTGCGGTTGTCGACATCGGGCCAACTTGACTGTAATTTTTGCGTTTGAGCTTATAATTCTCTATTATTGGGTCGATGTATCGGGTAGTGAGTTCACGGCAGGCCATGCATTTTTGTTGCTATAGTGTCAAGAATTTCTTGATTATGAAGTTGGTGTGGTGGTCGTGGAGCATTCAAATAAAATAAAAGGACGGAAAGTAAAGTAAAGGAAAAAGAAGTAAATTATTATTATGTAACACAAGAATTTGATACAATTTATGGATGTAAAGGCTACCCTCAGCTGCAAACCCAATTTCAATTCCGTCCTTGGACTAATCCTGAGCCGTCGCTTTGAAATTGAGGTTCCATTCGAACAGCTGTGGTACACAAGATTCCCTTGGCACATGAAGGAAATTCTTTGTTCGACATTTTTATTCACAAGGAACGGGTTAGAGCTCTTCGAAAACAAGCCTTTATATTGTCACGAGACAATGCAAGCTGTAATGTAAAAACATAGTCTTTGCTTGATTCGAAGTATTGCCTACGTGTCACAATACATGCCAGACTGAGGAGTGGACGGGAAAAGCTGGTTGACGGGATGGACTGGCTTCAAAAATCTCAAACTGTTGTACATATATATTTACTTTGTGAAGCTACCGGCGCATATATCTGAGTTTCGCAAATGTGAGATAAAAAAAATCACTTTATCCATATCTTTGCGTGTTGGCTATAAAAACAAACAATCAACAGATTTATTTTATTGCCGTTAACTTTAAAGTCAATAAATTATTGAACATACAAAAAATAACAATAACCAGACATAACTGCGACAATGAACCTTTGGCAGCATAGACGTACGTACACATATTGCCTGAAACTATGAATCACGCGAGAAAGATTAAACATAAAGTGGTCACAAAAGCAGTGCACAATACATTTGTGCATATACATAATACGAACATATATGCAAACATTTGTGTGGCTGCAGTAAGCAATGCCTTAATAGATTGAAAATATCCACAACAATGCTACTAATCTTGAACTATCGGTTTTACGCTCCTGCTTACTGTTAAGCAAGAAATTATAAAATGTTACCAAAATTTTTCTTAGCCTGCTTTTCAACTAACTATTAGGTTGCTAAAGGGATATTAGCAGCTTTGCAGTCTGCCTCTTCAAACTGGTTTTATGGATGTAAAGAGTGTTCAGAAAGAGAGTCTCCGAAACTGATCGCATGCCAACAAAGCTTGAACCAGCTTTTTATATACTTTCTGTGAGCTTATTGATGCGTGGTCTTCGGTCACTTCAGCAAATCTTCTTTAATGGCTTCAATTTATATAAAACTCTTGCTGGACCTTAACATTGTGTGCGCATCTGTTGTTTACTATTATATCAGTTCGAACAGTTTGTCAAATGCTTGTAACACACACACACACACACACACACACACACATGCTTAGGAACACACACATTTTCTCTTCGAAATAGATTTACAACTACATTCATATGATGTCGGAGTAAAGCCGTTGAACGAATGTTAGCATATAAAGATTATGCCCATGAGACTTTAACATGCGCGATACTCCGGCCAACGATTTGCTCATTAAGTGTTCAACTTTTTTTCCAACTTCAGTCAAGTTATTCATGCCTTGACATTGCCAATCATGATTGCGAATTTCCATCATCTTGCATACTCTTTACAAAAACTTTATGGAAGTTACTGTAAAAGATAATCTTCGCCTTTTTCTTCCTATGGCTGTCAGAGGCCTTCCTTAAAACAGTACGTGCCAGTTCCTAGCCTAAGATTTCGCAGCGCTTACAAGCTGGGAGATCTGTTCTTCAAACGAAGGCAACTCGCTTGCGGTGTACAGTGAAGATTGAAGCTGGAAAGAGCTTTCGTATAAGCCCAAAGGGGGAACTAATTCAAAATGGCGAAATAATTATCTTTAAGGAATGTAAATACCGTCAAGAGTACAAGTTATTATACAGTGTCCCAAAATTTACGCAAGATTTGAATGGAACGGTAAACACAGAGTTTTTTTATTGAATCAGAATGTATATAGGAGGATATAGTTATGTATCGAATCGCACATCAAGTAAAAGGCTTCGGCGGCTTCGCTGGCACCCCTTTATCGAAATTTTCCATATTCGTTTTGTGTGAATGTGGCTGAATTTCGAATCTCATACCTCAGTGCTCCCGTGGTTGTATGGTCGTCGGCATAGACCTTCGACGTCAAATAAAACTATGAAAGGAAATCCAGATTGATCTAGGGGGCCAGAGTTGATCATCGAAGCGAGAGACGACACGACCAGGGAATTTCTCTTGCACTGATTGGATTGTTTCATGGGATGTATGGCACGCGGTACCCTCTGGTTGAAATCAGACGTTTTTCACATCACTATCATCCTATTCAGTCCTTGCTGGACTGAACTTCATTTTTGAAGATTTTCTTCAACAAAACTTGATTTCTGACCTTGGAAGGTTAGATCATGCATAAAAAACTGAAATTAACAGGAGATTATAAAAACGAATGTATAGCAGAATGAAAATCAAGATTGTTACTAAACATCGGACAATTCGGAATCACTTGAAAAAGGCAGATTACAAAAAGGAGCTCAAAACCTCGGAGACCATTCGATATGAACTAATATCAGGTATAATAGACTTATTAAAGAAAAACATCTAAATACTGGAATCTTATTTATTTATTATTTTATCTCATTGGCTTGTGGTTAATATATATGTAAAATTTTTTCAAAAAGCTATGTATAAAAAATATTTCAGTTTTTTCTTTCAATTTTCACAACTTAAAGTCTTTACGGAGTTCTTTCCCACTTCATATGTCGTAAACATTAGAAATGAAATGACAATATTTTTACAATCCTATGCACCACTGAAACCGATCAAATCATTTAACAAATATCCAGAACGGACATAACCTCAATATTGACTAATTACCTAATTTTTAAACATTTCCGAATTTTTGGATAATCTTAAATTTAAAATGTAGTGCAACAGTTTCACTTGACAAGTCTGCTAAAAGTAAACTTTAAACAAAAATATGCAAAAAACTGGATTCACTTTAGATGGAGTAACTAACACTAACCACTTCATGTCAATACATAAAAATTGCAATATATATCCTGAAGAGTGGTCGATTAAATTAGGTAAGTGCGTAACACAACAGGTCTTATGTGACCTGCATGAGCTTTCAATTTCAGCTTAGTCAAGTGTTTGTTAACATAAAATTTTCCATTTCATTGTTTATTTGATTGTTTGTATGTATTTCTTTACTAATTGCTTTTCAATGAATTTTGGAGACATTTTCTCCCTTTACTGGTAAATGAGAATAAATGCACAGTACTAATACAAATGTTCTTAGAAGGCAAAATAAAAAAAAAAAAAAAAAATGTATTTATTTCGAACAAAACATATTAACAAACTTACAACCCTTGACAATCATTCAGAACGTGTTCTCTGTTCTATGTTCATTTCCTTCCAAAATTTTATCATAAATACTATCATCAACTGAGTATGCTTTTCATCTTAAAGGAAAGGGAAAAGCAGTTCAATAAAACCAGAAAACTTTTAATTAAACTT